TCCGCGCTTCACCATGTGCTGCAGCCAGGCATGTCGCCGCCCATGTGGTTTTGGCGAAGCCGACCTCGGTGGTGGTATCCCGAGGTCGACCTGGAGGATCAGGTGCAGACGTGGGCATGTGGTCGACTTGGCGTCTGTGCTGTGCAGGTGACGAGGCACAGCACGCCAATCAACTGCGAGCACCTGTGAAGCGGGTGCGCTGATGTCCTGTGGGTGCAACGCTGTTCAGCCGCCTTGCTGCAGCGTTGGCACGCCGTCGACTTGCAGCGTTGGCAGATCGCGACTTTGCACTGCTGGAGCGCGGTCTACCATGTCGTGCTGGAACACGGTCGACCGTGCTGCCCTGGCAGTCGACCTGCTTGCATGCTAGCCCGTGATGTAGACAGTGTTGCTTTGCCATTATCAACCTTATTGTTGTGAACTTTTGCTAGTGGAACCCTTGCTAATTCTCCCCGTGAACTAGCAAGTAGTGTAAGCACTTGGAAACGACTAAGGAACGAACGAACGCAGAGATCCCTCCTACTCCGTGCCTAGCCCGTAGTCTAGCTCCCGTTGATAGAGTTATCTCCGCATGGTGCGGTGAGCGTGGAAGGCACACAACTTACCCCTTCAGCCAGGTCGATGTAGTGGTCACTTACCTAATTCGTGTTTGTAGGCTGGCAGCTGTGCGGTAGTCACTATGGTAGGCGCCGTAGGTGACGTAGGGGTGGTGGACACCCTTGAGGCACGGCTGGAGGACGCGAGGAGACGCCATGAGGCCAACGAGTACGGGCCAAACCTACCGTTGGCAATCATCGAGGCAGGCATCCGCTCGATGTGGGCGGAAGAGCACCCTGCTCGACCAGCTTCTCCTCGACCGGTGAACAACGAGGGCGGCGTTGACGTGGGAGTCAATGCCAGTGGTGACCAAGTCGGCAGCAGTGCGGGAGGCACGTCGAGGCAGCGAGGTGTGATACACGCCGATGAGGGATGCGGTCGTCAACGGCTGCAGGTACCTCACAAGGCGACGTTGGAGGTCGACGAAGCAGTCTGTCGCCGATGTCGGCGACCCACGTGACAGCGGGAGGGATTGCACCGAGCTACGGCTACTTCAAGTTTACGCCGGACAGGATCTCCGTCACCCCTGTGCTTGTTGGACGACCTGATATCCTCACCTGGAAGGAAGCCATCGAGCCCCAACTGGAGATGGCCGGGCTGATCGGCTTCGACAGGGGCACTGTGGCGACGCCGGAGGAACAATACCCCGACTTGCGTGCAGAGTTTCGCGCTGTGCAGTTTCTGACCTTCACGGTCATCTCGCGGTGCTGCTCGCCGGGCGTGCAGATCGCCTTCAAGTCGTGCAGGGAGTACCTCGACGCTGGCCACCGGGCATGGCACTTCATTGAGTCGACGTACCAGGTCACCGACGACCTGTACATCGGCCAGCTTGAGGAGCAGCTGTCGCACATACGGATGGGCGAAGAGGAGACGGCGACCGACTACTGCAACCGGGCTCGGCGAATTCTCGCCACCATGAGGATGGCCGGCGTGCACTACTCGACGGCGTCGTACCTCACGCACGTTATCAAAGGGCTCGCGAGCAACTATAACCTGCTGAAACGACTGTCGATGGAGCCGAGTATTAGGGCGACACTCAACGAGGATTCTCTTACCTCGTACATCCTGCAGAATGAGGCGATGCAGGAAGCCGAGCGGCCCTCGGAGCTCCTGGCGCAGGTGAACTACGTCGCCCCGGTGAAGCAAGGTGGTTGACCTGGGCAGCGTGGACAGTCTGGTGGCGGCAGTAGCAGTGGCTGGAAGCCGAACAAGGAAGTCGACAAGAAGAAGTCGGCTAAAGATTGCGGTCGTGGAGGAGGAAGTCGACGTCGAGAGTGCTGGCTGTGCGGCGACCCCGACCACCTCTCCTTCGAATGTCCTGACCGCAGTGACTCCGACGACGACGACACCAAGGGAGGCCAAGGGAGGTCAGCCGGACGTCGACCTCGCCGGGAGAGCAAGCCGTGCAAGGAGAAGTAGTCGACCTCGGCGAATGTCGCCGACTCCTCCTCTGGCGGCAAGGGGCGATGCAACAAGGAGGCGTCGTGCTCGATGGTCGCCGTCATGGAGCCGACCGTCTCGCTGGCGCCAGAGGCTGGTGAGGACTTCCAGGCGATGGCGGCAGCTGTGCAGGCGAACCCGGCGGTGGTCCTGCTCGAGAGCGGCTGCTCACACCATCTGATGGGCCCAAGGAGGTCTTCGTCGACTTGGGGCCAAGCGGCGACGTCAAGCACGTGCGTGGCTTCAATGGGGCGCTGGAGACCGTCCAGGGCCGCGGTACCGTCGCCCTGCAAGGAGAGGCCGGGAAGAAGGTGCTCATGCCGGACGTGCTCTACGTTCCGAGCGTGCATGCCAACCTGCTGTCAGCCGGCCAACTGAAGGAGAGCGGCGTGAAGCTGCAGGACGAGGGTGACGGGATGTTGATCGTCTCAGCGGCCGGGGACGTCCTAGGTCGGGCAACATACACCGGCCGGGTCCTCTGCACCGACCTACGACCCTGCACGGCGACGTCGACGTCGACCACGATGGAGGCGGTGGCTGTGCGGACCATCGTCACGGCAACGAAGTCGACGCCGGCCAGGTGGCACGTGAGGCTTGCGCACGTCGATGTCGACACCATCACAAGCTCGGCGAAGCACGAGGTCGCCACCGGCCTAGACGTCAAGTCGTCGACCGGCACCGACTCTCCGTGTGTCTCGTGTGTCGGCGGGAAGCTAGCGCGGCACACCTTCCCCGACAAGGGCTCGGACGCCGACGACGCCCTGGCTGTCGTGCACATCGACCTGTGCGGGCCGTTTCGGGTGGCTGCCAAGGATGGCAGCCTGTACTTCTTGCTGCTGAAGGACCGGAAGACCCACTACGTGCGGGTGAGGCCGGTTGCCAAGAAGTCCGACGTGCTGCGCGAATTTGAGAAGTGGCTGGTGGTAGTTGAGCGGCAGACGAAGAAGTCGGTGTTGATGCTGCGTTCTGACCGGGGAGGGGAGTTCCTTGGGAGGCAGTTTACCGACTTCGTGGACGGCAAGGGCATCGTCCACGACTTGACCTGCCCCTACACACCTCCGCAGAACGGCATGGCGGAGCGAGAGATGCGGACGGTGGTGGAGTCGGTGCAGATGATGCTGCTGCACATGGGTGTGCAGCACCACTGGTGGTTCCTTGCTCTGCGCCAGGCCGTCTGGGTGAGGAACTGCTTGGAAAGGTCGACGCTGCCGCCGGGAACCACGCCGCACCAGCTGCTGACCGGCAAGAAGCCCGACTTGACGCTGGCCCGCGTGTGGGGCTGCGTGGCGCAGTTCCTCGTCCCCGAGCAGCAGCGCGGTGGAAAGCTGAAGCCAAAGGCCAGGTGGGGCCTTCACCTCGGTGTGTTAGAGGAGAGCAAGGGTTGGGAGCTCCTCGACCTCAACGACAACAGGGTGGTCACCACGTCGGACGGGGTGTTCTACGATACCATGTCGCTGGAGCTGTGGAAGTCGGAGAACGGGTCGGCGTCAGGGCGGACGCAGGTCAACCTACCGACTGACACCTCGACGGCGACTCTCCCTCTGCTCGCCGAGGTCGGTGAGCTTGCTGATGAGGACGCCGAGGACGTCCGCCCTCTTTCCCCTTTACCTGCCCCTCCTGCCCCTCCCCTTGTAGCCAACCTGCGTGAGCTGACATCGACGTCGGCCAGCGGCGATGAGGGGAGCAGTGGGCCGTCGCCTGTGGCGCCGGCCAAGATCATCGCCGGTGGCCGACGTGACGTCAAGCATGTCGGTGTGGGAGAGAAGTCGACGCCGACGGGGGAGCAGCAGGCAAAGGAGGTGCCGACTTGGGTGAAGTCGGCGAAGGAGGTGTCAGCAGAGAAGCCGCCGACAGGGGAGCAGCCAGCAGTGAAGCTGCCCAAGGGGCGGTCGGCGACTGGGCAGTCGGCAGGGGAGCCGACAACAGGGGAGAAGTCGGCAGGTACGCCGACTGTTGAGCAACAAGATGGTGAGGACGACGAGGAAGGGGAGCAGTCGGCGGGCAAGGAGTCCACCGATCGCAACGTGGTCAACACAGAGGAGCCTGAGCTGCGACGTTCAGGCCGACTCCGGAGGCCGCCTGAGCGGCTGATCTACCACGTGTGCCTACCGCCGGCCGCCTTCACCACGCTGCTCGACGACGCGGACGCCGACGTCGACCTACCTGAGCTCGACCCCGACATGCACGCTGACCCTGAGCACCGATGGGACATCGCAACGATGACGGTGAAGGAGGCGTTGGCGAGCTGGAAGGGCAAGGCGGTGAAGGCCGCCATAGACGAGGAGATCAGCAGTCTCATTGGCATGGGCACTTGGGAGCTGGTCGACCGCCCACGCGAGGTGAACATCATGAAGAACCGGTGGGTCCTGATGACCAAGTACCACGTCGACGACACGGTCACCCGGGAGAAGGCGAGGCTGGTCATGAAGGGCTTCACGCAGGTGTATGGCGCCGACTACGACGAGACGTACGCGCCAGTGAGCAGCTACGTCACGCTGAGGATCTTCCTCAGCATCGTCGCCGTCCTCAACCTCAACCTGATGCAGCTCGACATGAAGAACGCCTTCCTGCAGAGCAAGCTCGACAGGGTGTTGTACATGTACCAGCCGGACTACTACGACGACGGGACCGGCCGATCCCTTGCTCCGCTTCGCGCTTTCCTTGTCGTCTCTGTCGCCCGTCGTCTTCAGGCCCTGCTTGTCGGCAGTCCTCCGTTGCGCGTGATCGGCGTCATTGGCCGACGGCGACGACCCACATCGACTAGGCGCCAGAGTGCCGATCATCTCGGTCATCATCTTCATCTCGGAAGCAACGAAAGACTGTTGGGTGGCCTCCGTCACCGCCTTCATGATGTCGGCCTTGAACGACTTCAAGAGCTCTTCCGGGAGGGCGGGCGGCGTGGGATGAGGCGGTGGCGGCGGCTGCACGACGAGCCTGGAGGTCACAGCGGTGGCGATGTTGACCTACGCGGCGGATAGTTGCGTCGTGATGTACAGCTCCAATCCCCGCTTCGCTTCGCCCACCTCCCCAGTTACGTGTTCGGCCATGGCGTAGATCGCTCTCGCGCGTGCATATGCCACACGACCCTCCGGGTTGTCGAAGTCCTCCAACCACGCCGACGCCTGTTCCGCGAAGGTCTTCATCGCCTTCCACGCTTCGTCGAAGCTGCCGGTGATGTTGCCCGTGATGGTCTCCGACATGGCCGCCGTCGCGTTTCGCAGCTGTTCCGCCGCATACTTCTCGGTGTCGTCGACCTGCTCGGCCAACCCTTTCACGTGGTCGACGAGTCCACTAAACCCAACAAAAAACCTGTCCAGCCGAGCCTGCTCCGCATTGAGCAATGTCGCCAGCCGAGCGCTCTCCGCCCTCAACAGAGATTTCCTGCAGTACTACGACAAAGACGTTAGCTGCGAGGTGGTTTGGAGTACCCTCCATCCAGGTCGTCGTCGACTTACCTCTGCCTGAATTTGGGTTGGGTCCCGACGCTTGTTGATCGTCTCGGTGTCGACCCTCTCGACCCATTTCGCCCAGTGCTGGAAGAGGGGGATCCGGCAGAGCATGGAGCCTTGGACGTACGGGTGCCATGGTGTGCGGACCAGCTTCACCGCTAGGTCCTCGGCGACGATGCGGCGCAGCATCTGGAGTGTGCGCCAGAAGTGCACCGCGGCTTTGTCGGCGTCGGACCCATTGGCAGCCTTCCCTTCCGCCTGCAATTCGTCGCGTGTATAAGGAGTTCAGAAAGGGTCGGCAACACGACTCAAAGACAAGGCTACGACGGCGTCGACTAACATACCGTCTTCAGCATGTCGTCGACGCCGGGGAAGATGTGCTCGGCGAGGAGCTTCAGGAGCTTCTCGGAGGGCTCTACCCTGCTCCGACCCAAGAAGTAGTCCTGCTTGTAACCAGAGTAACCGGTCTTCTTCATCACCACCCCCACCGGAATGGTGGTGATGTACGCTCGCGTCATCTTGTCGAGCGCCCAGTGACCCAGCTCCGCGATCTCGGCGCGCGGCGTGCCGTCGATGGCCAGCTCCTGGGCCCCTCTCGCTCGAGCGGCGTGCACGTTCCTCTTGCAGAACACCCCGTTCTTGTCCCACAACTGCCGCGCCCAGTGTTGGTGGCTTGCCACGGAGAGCTCCCCTTGGTCGGTGTCGTTTTTGGCGAAGAAGAGGTGATTCTTGTACCAGCTCGCGCGTGTGCTGGTGTCCACCGGCGGAATGAGGCGGACGCCGTGAAACTGGCCGATCTGGTCGAGGATGAAGTGCAACCACAGGTCCGTCTCGCCGACGGCGCACAACTCCGCTTCGAGGTGCCGCGCAGCGTAGCTCTGCTACAGACGCGCATCCTTGGACGTCTTCGAGTTCCGCGCAGCGATGACCATGACAACCGGCTGGTTCTCCGGGTTCACCGACGAGGTGCTCGCCAGTCGGTACAAGAATATGTCGGGGAGCGTGATCTCGCGGATGCTTTGACCGCGCAGGAGAGAGTGGTGGGAGAGTAGCATGAGCACCTTCAAGAGCAGAAACCTCCACAGCGTCTGCGAAGGGCCCGTACCTAGCGGGTTCCACGCCTTGGCCGCCCACGTCGGCAGCACCCTGATCATGATCTGGCGGAACTGTTGTGGTACAAGGCGCTCGACGACGTGCTGGTCGGAGCCAACTGGAAGAAGAGCCAGGTCGACCAGGCACTCTACTTCAAGTTCGACGACGATGGGGTGACCTGCTGGGTGCTGGTCTACGTCGACGACCTGCTCGCCGCCAGCAGCAGCACCGCGATGCTGGGGGAGCTAAAGGAGCTGCATGAGGCCGCCTTCGAGCTGCGTGAGATCTCGCAGGTGGTGAAGTACCTCGGACTGGAGATCGTGCGTGACAGGCCGGCGAGGAAATTGTGGCTGCACCAACAGAGCTACGCCGACAAGCTGCGCAGGCGTTTCATCGACGAGGAGCAGGGCGGTCGAGTCCCGAAGACGCCGGTCTCCGTCGACGCCTACGCCGAGCTTACGTTTGACTACGAGGAGGCTCAGAAGCGCGAGGAGGAGGAGTATCGGCAGAAGGTCGGCTCGCTGCAGTTCGCGGCGACGACGACGAGGCCGGACATCGCCTTCGCCTGCAGCAAGCTGGGCAGCGGCCTCACGGTGAGGAGCGACCAGCATTGGCGCGAGGTCGACCGCTGCTTCGCCTACCTCGCCAACACGCGTAACACCACCCTGGAGTTCGACGGTGGAACTGGGTCGCTGAAGCTGGTTGGCTACGTGGACGCCGACGACGCTGGCGACAAGAAGAACCGGACGAGCACGGGCGGCTACGTGTTCGTCTACGGAATGGCCGCGGTCTCCTGGTCGAGCCAGCGCATCAAGTGCGCGACGCTGTCGTCGACCGAGTCGCAGTACGTGGCGGCCACTGAAGCCGGCAAGGAGGGACGCCACCTTCGTTTCCTCCTTGCAGAGTTCCTGCAGCTGGACGCCGGGACGCCGACCGTCCTTTGGGTGGACAACAATTCGGCTATCACGGTCGCCGAGGGCATGGGGTTGGCGGGCAACCTCAAGCACATGGAGCGGCGACAAGCCCTGGCTGCAGCACATGGTGAAGCGCGGGAAATTCACGCTGAAGTACATCCCGACCACCGAGCAGCCGGCCGACTTCCTGACGAAGGCGCTGCACTACCCGGATTTCAACCGGTGCTCCGTCGCAATCGGCCAAGTGCGCCTGGTCGGCGTGGGCGACAGTGACGACGACGTGCAGTAGTAGGTGCCATGCCCTCTTGCATGGCTGGTGCGGTGACCGGCGTGCTGTGTGTTGTGTGCACGCCGACGGGCTATTCTCCGAGTGGTGCTGCCGTGTGGGCTGGGGGCCCAAGCGTGAACGCGGCAGGGGAGTGTCAACGGGAGTTGTGGTTGGCCCCGTCCTCGCTTGGGTGGAACCAACTTCGTAGTCGGGTGTGCGGGGAGTGCAGCCGATCAGTTTTAGTGAGGGCGCCTAGCTGGAGGGCGCCGAGCAGGAGGACGCCGTCTTGGGCGTCTGGACGGCGTCCTGGGCTCCTGGACGCCGACCTGGCCGTCTGGACGGCGTCCTGGGCGCCTGGACGCTGACCTGGGCGCCAGGACGGCGTCCTGGGCGCGTGGACGCCGACCTGGGCGCCTAGACGGCATCCTGGGCGCCTGGACGCCAACCTGGGCGCCTGGACGGCATCCTGGGAGGCTGGACGCCGACCTGGGCGTCTGGACGGCGTCCTGGGCGCCTGGGCGCCGACCTGGGCGCCTGGACGGCGTCCTGGGAGGCTGGACGCCGACCTGGGCGTCTGCACGGCGTCCTGGGTACCCGGACGCCGACCTAGGCGTCCTGACGTCGACCTGGGTGCTGGGACACCTCTTCTGGGGACGCCGGTCTGGTGTAGCCGGCGTACGACTGGGCTGGGGGACCAGGCGTGGTTGCCCGGTCGACCAAGTTACCCAGACGACGAAGTTTTACGGAGGTGTGCGACAGTCGCCCATGTGGTTTTGGCGAAGCCGACCTCGGTGGTGGTATCCCGAGGTCGACCTGGAGGATCAGGTGCAGACGTGGGCATGTGGTCGACTTGGCGTCTGTGCTGTGCAGGTGACGAGGCACAGGACGCCAATCAACTGCGAGCACCTGTGAAGCGGGTGCGCTGCTGTCGTGTGGGTGCAACGCTGTGCAGCCGCCTTGCTGCAGCGTTGGCACGCCGTCGACTTGCAGCGTTGGCAATTCGCGACTTTGCACTGCTGGAGCGCGGTCGACCATGTCGTGCTGGAACGCGGTCGACCATGCTGCGCTGGCAGTCGACCTGCTTGCATGCTAGCCCGTGATGTAGACAGTATTGCTTTGCCATTATCAACCTTATTGTTATGAACTTTTGCTAGTGGAACCCTTGCTAATTCTCCCCGTGAACTAGCAAGTAGTGTGAGCACTCGGAAACGACTAAGGAACAAACGAACGCAGAGATCCCTCCTACCCCGTGCCTAGCCCGTAGTCTAGCTCCCGTTGATAGAGTTATCTCCGCATGCCTGTGATTGCACACATCACCAAACTTCAACTTTACTGAGGCAAATGATCCCCTCCACCTCTTTTCACGAGTTCATGACATGACTCTGCGTTGCTTCTTTAAACAGCAGCGTCTGTGTTTCAGTTCAGGCACGTCTTACTCCTCGTGCCTGCTGTTAGGTGAGTCGGAATTCAGTATGGTCGATAGGAGCAGCATGATGATCAACCTCATAGACTTGTGCTGATTCACAGTGATGAGTACTCACATGCACTACCAGCTGGGTGCTCTGGTCACCACTCTTGTTTGCCAATGGGCCTTCTGGTCCTGTGTCTGACCCTGTGCTTTGAGTCCGTTAGATTGACTCCTTCCTTGTCTGCTGTTTGACTGCTGAAGTGGGGAAAACACATCGATCCTGGTTTTTCTTCACCATTTGCAACTTATTGGTATTTCCCACTGCACGGTCCAGCCATATTGCCTGTGATGCTCTTATTTCCGTAAACTCCTGAGCACGCCTATGATTGCACACAATTTCCGAACTTCAACTTTGACTGAGGCAATGGATTCTTCTTTGAACTTTCAAGCCTAAAGTTTTCCTGTTTTTTTTAAGCATCATTTCTTTCGCCATGGGTCGGAGCAGCATGATGATCAAACTCTGTCAGAATCCCAACGACTAGACCATTGGGATAAAAGGGCTTGTTAAGTAGCGGGTCAGTGCGCCCATAACCCCCCAGGACAACGAGCCTGTAACCCTTCCCTAGGATCAATCGGGGATCACCAGTGGACCTCTGACACCCCTCCGCACTGGGATGCCCGTAGTGCACACACTGGGATTCAAACCCGAGACCTTTGCTCCGATACCATGTCAGAATCCCAACCACTAGACCATTGGGATAAAAGGGCTTGTTAAGTAGCGGGTCAGTGCGCCCATAACCCCCCAGGACAACGAGCCTGTAACCCTTCCCTAGGATCAATCGGGGATCACCAGTGGACCTCTGACAAACTCATAGACCTCTGCTGATACAGAATGAAAAATACTCATATGCACTACCAGCTGACTGCTCTCCTCCTCAACAAACCTGTTATTTTTGTCCCACGAATATGGTTGCTCCCACAATTCACTTGCTTTTCTCAAGTTAACCTTTGCTATTTTGATTGGAGCTATCAGTCTCGTAGAGCCACTTGCCGGTGATGTAAAATATGTTCCAATTCACGAGCCTGTCTCTGATCTACCAAACATTATCACCATCTTTCGACTGAGGCAAGTTGCTACTTGGTGTTCGAGCTTTGTGGTCTGATTGTCATTTCCGTCTACCCTATATTTGATGTGTGCTTCTTAGCCTAACCCAACTTTTCTTTGTTTGGCTTGATGGATACATTCAGCCATTTGCCAATGATGCAGAATTGTCCAATCATGAGCCTGTCTTTGATTCTAAAACCAACCACCATCTTTCGACTGAGGCAGATTTTAAGGCAACTCATCAGATTCTGACCTAAGTGTTATGTGTCTGAGCAGAGTGATGATCAAACTCATAGACTTGTGCTGATTCACAATGAAGAGTACTTACATGCACTACCAGCTGACTGCTCCATTCTCCATACCCGATGTTCTACCTGTTTCTTGCAATTTGTTTCCCATCCCTGATCTGTGCTGTTCATTCATCAGGTGTGTGGTCATTGTGTGAAAATTCAGATCCCTGAATTCACTTTGTGAGCTTGCTCTGAAGTGCATGCTCGCTGCCTCGGGGGTCTGTAGAACACCATGGCCTTGAAAGGCTGTGTGCGTGGCTTATCGTTTCAGGAAGCTATGGCTTTTTCAGTCACCAGTTAGCTACTTGATTGTGTCCTCGCAAATTTGTCACTGACTGCTCAATGGGTAGTATATCTTGATGGGTCGGCTTTGTTGCTTAACCATGATTATATTCATCCCTTTCCCTTCCCTTTGTATGTGGCAGATTTTTGAAGTAATCTCTTCAATATGGGCATTCCTGCTTGATTCTTGAATTGCTGCATAGTGGATGTAGCTGGCTATTGAAGTTGATGGAAGTGCTAATTATGTATGGCACAATGTACAATGATTTTGCACACACGCTCATTTATGAAGCGCAAAATTTCAGTCTTGGTGGTACATGGTGAATTGTACATACCGTATTTGGTCACACCATTTCATACCAATACAGTGGTAGCAAATTCATACCGCATTTAAATTGTACACCTGCACTGCTCTTCCGAAGTATTGATCAGCACGTGTGTGCATCTCAGTTATAAGAAATTATAAACGACAGTTTCGTCTGACGAGGGAAATAAGGAACAATTGCACTTGCTGATGATGCATTGCTGGAATGACATGTGATGGAAATGTTTAATAAATTACATTTTCAATTCTTCGTGGTTCCTCCTTGGACGGGCAAACCCGAAGCGGGCTGCCGTAGGGCCCACTCGGAAGAAACGATTGCTGACATGGCATGAACTGAATGGATTACAGACCTTATCCATTTCCAACAACCAAACATTTCCATCAAAGAAGGAGATTGTGATCACGTGGAACTCCGACCAAAGCTCCGTGTGACGCGCTACCTCCGAGATCTTTTAGCTGATATGAGCTGG